AAAGAGAACTACCTGATCATTTTGTTTACCTTGAGTATAAGACTAAATATTCTTGCAATCAAATTCGCTGGACGGACCTCTAATGGAAGGTGCAGTTAAATCTGAAAAATTCCGGGGCTGAAAGGAGTGGGCGTAATTGACTACAGAATGCTATACAATGATTCTCAAGGGAAGCTTTTTATGCAAGGAGGCTGCATATATATACTTTCTGCCATATTTTCGTAGGACCCCATGCTTCATTATCCATTCAGTTCTTGCATGAAGGAAACAATGTTGAAAACAACACACTGCCTCATGGGACTATAGATTTGTTATAGAATAGTGTGATGTTATTTGGAAATCTTTCCCTAATTTCTGGAAATAAATCTTTAGAATATCTTGACAATTTTTACAATACAAAATTTCTGATATAAGATTGCAGATAAATATACATGTTTTCCCATTTTTATTATCTTATGTTGTATATATTTATATACTCTACACCGCCTAGATTAGCTATGCTATTTTCGGTGCACAGTTACCTCTCTCTTTTATTAGTTTACTAATAAACTGATATTGACTGAAAGTGACTCACAAAAGTGTGTTTTAAGTCAAATACCATTTCCAGGCTTTTCTCGACACTTCCCGTGCGCCTTTCACATGATAATTGGCACTTTTCACAATAATTTCGAAAAGCTACCTTTTCAGAGGAGTCTCTCAGGAGATCAAACATGACAGTTGACTGACGTCCAAGAGTTCTCTGTCAATTAATAATGCTTAACTCTTTAACTCCTAAGAGTGACCAGCATCTTATTTCTCCTTACAATATCACCCCTGAATCAAACATTAAAGGTCATGAGAATAAAGGACATGATCACCAACTAAAGAAGTTCTACATTGCTAACCAAATTCTCCTTGTCAGCACCTTAGGAAACGTATAGATGACAGCAAGGAGAAAATGCATACTGATGTTGGGGTGTAAAGGGTTTAAGAACCAAATGGATTCCAATTTGGTCTTGATTCATGCGGGTGATTTCAAAACAAAATCAGACGACTGCAAGCGCATTGAGTAGTCTTTCCTTTTCGGCGAAGTCGAACTCCCTTTTGGCGTGGAACTCTGGGAGTGAAGCGCGCCCCACTCCCAGAGTTCCACACAGCGCGCTAACAACGTTTTTTTCGCTAATTTTTTTTTTACTCGCGCAACTAACTTCGCCGAAAAGGAAGGATTTCTCGTAGTCTATTACAGGCAGTTATGAATGAAAAAAAACCCCAGTCATCAATTAATCAAACTGGAACAAATTTTTAGAGATGAAACATACCCATAAGTTACAAGTATACATTAGTTAAAACGTGACAGTTGACTTATCCAATAATAAAATAGGCTCAACAATCTGTAACAACAGTGAAGCATTCTGTACAATTTCACAGCCTGGCATGAAGGGTAAACTATGCTATATATTACGGGGGTAAGTTTCCAAAGAAGCTATGGTGCTGCGTTGGTGGAAGAGTATAACAGGGTAACTAAGTATTATCAACTAAGTTGATAACGTAAATTGGCCAAGAAGCTGACGTTTCGATTGTTAGCCCTTTGTCAGAGCGTTAGCCCTTCGTCATTCACTCTGACAAAGGGTTAACGCTCGAAACGTCAGCTTTGAAACTGTTAAGGAAACTAGCCAGAAGGCTCACTTTCATTTAACTGAGTGTTGATTAGTTTAATCAGGAGCCCAATTTCAGAATGATCCTAGATACGAACATACTTACAATGTCATCTGTTTGTTTATATTTCTATTGGTTTTGTAATCGGACATTTCAGCGTCACCACGCGCATATAGAAGCGAGTTTAGCGTCCCTGTAATCAGTTCTTCGCAAGTTTTTTGAGTACTCTTGGTGAACTTTCGTCTTTTCGTTTCTTAAACCTTTGGCATAAGCGGGATCGATATGTGAGTAATTTTGTAACTTTGTTTTCTAATTTAGTTTTCCAGCATTAGGCGAAAGTATACAAACAGATGCTTCGTTGTATTGCCGTGTTTTCCAATTGATTCGAGATTTAAAGGCCAAAATTGTATCAGATGCAAATGAACGCCCACCATTTAGAAAAGGACGATGGGCTGTTAACCAGCCACAAAATTTCTTGTAATTTTTGTACCTAAACTTTTGTACTTTAACGTAGTTTTTATTGGTTTATTTGTATTGTTCATTGTCATTTTAATCTCGTTGTCGGCGTTAAGGCCCAGCTTTTTACACGCGATTTTTTATTATGTATTTCGCAACATTTCCTCAGATTGATAGAACTTCGTTGTGTTATTGTTTCAGTTTTCGATCGGTCGATTGATTGATTGATTGATTGTGAGATTAATCGCTGATTGTGATTCGTGGTCGACTACTTGCAAGATTAAACATTCGTGTTAATGGTCAACCTTGGTCTGTTATTCTTCAATCTCGATCTGCAAAATAACCCCCTAACACCTCGGTAATCACGTCTTGGAGCGACACTGCTTGGAATCTTAAGAATTAGAATTTTGGTCGCCGCAAGCGCTAGAGAAACTCTTTACGGTGGCCAATTTACGTTATCAATTTAATTGACTGTACTATATTACCCTGTGCTACATTGCACTAAGATTGTCCCATCACCCTGGAGACTACTTCCCAGTTAAAGCTAATGGAGGTAATTTAATGTTAACAACGGAGTTGAAAACATAAATTGGCCACCGTAAAGAGTGTAAAGACTGACGTTTCGAGGGTTAATACAAAGTTCGTCTGTGTCCCTAAAGAAGGGAAAGATTTCCGTCAGCCCCATACACATTATGCACACTGCTCTTGGATAAACTAAACAATTGTGAAAAGAAAAGATTAACTTTGTGACTACAGCTTTGCTTAAGAATAGTACATGTTATATGTAAATCTTTCCAAAAATGGAAATAAAATAAAACATAGCCAAGAGCTGCAAGCTCAAATCCTAACCATCATGACCGAACACTTGGTGACCTATACATATTATATGTATTGCGTGACAGAATCTCACAATGGGACTGGATGTCGATTAATAAGCTCACCTAAGCACGCGATTGAGCTGAACACGGAAGAGTGCAGGGTAACTTGTTTATATCTAATTTGAGTAACAATATCGCTGATTCTCTTTATGGAAACTCCTTTCTAGACTGACCATAAGGCGTCCTTACACTCTTTCGTTACCCTCTCAGAAATATGGTGTACAAGACGAAAAATCGTTTGAATTTTACGAAGTGTTTGAAGTCCAAGTGGCTGACTGATTTGAAAGATTATGAATTGAGGAAAAGAACAATTGTGGTCAACATTTCCAACAAGGATGCTGTCATCTCGGGGCCGGAACCTCGCAAAGTTTTGCAGCCGAGAAAGTCCACGATTTTAGCAGGTTATGTTTCAGTTGTTTCAGACTTTGAGGATTTAATTTGAAAGGTCATGCGCAAATATCTTGTGCACCTTCAATAATTTTCCAGTGTGAATTTAAAGTCTTCCCTAGAAATAGACTGATCTTCAGCTTCTACGTTTTGTTTTCCACCGAAGGAATCCCCTTTTGTCTTTTTCGTTTTATACGTACAATCCGCACATACGCAAGTGAATAAGACCAGAAAGAATCAGTTCTCAAGAGTGTGAGCACTTGATCTACATTGAGACATGAAAATCTACAAGATTGAACGGCATATGGAGAAAGTTGGCTTAATACAACCTATGGTTGATTCAAATGGGCTCTGTAACATAATTAAGCATATGGAAATCTTGCCTTCGATTAAATTGGGCTCTGTTACAAAATAGCAGGTAATTTGGTGTCAACAACTGAGTTGAAAACGTAAATTGGCCACTGTAAAGAGTTAAAAGGCCAAGTTGCGCCAGGTAACCTAACTACTGCCAGCGAAGAATCGTTAGCATGTTAGATCACATGTTCGAATTGCGTTTGAGATTCAAGTATGCTAGATTCAGAGCTGGTAATCGCGTTCGGTAAGATTTCCGTATAACTCCATTCTTAATTATGCATGCCGTTGTTGGATAGCAGAAAACAATGTCGAATACAGTACGATGCTTTTGAGAGTGCGGCTTTGTTTTAAAGCCAGGTTTTAGAGCAGTACGGGGTCGTAAGGAAAACACCATTTTCTTCATCTTCGTGTCTAATTAAATTAATCGATGTTGTGGACTTACTAGGTTCCCGAAAAGGTAAGTTTTAGAACAATTCTAGTGTCGGTTAGAGGAAAATATTGTCCGCAAATTTCATCTATGCGTGACTTTAAAACCACATGGTTACACTTACACCGAGAACTACTCTTTCATTTTCTCATTCAGGTGTAAGTGTTATAAGTGCCGAGTCTCTCGTGCTCATCAAAATCTCGGACGAAATCAACATCGGTGGCTGTGTTCTGGAGGACGGCTGGTGTCAGCTGACAGCACAGGACCCAACTTACCCGTGGGATGTCCCGTTGTACAAGTCCCCACAGTTTGACGTCGGGTGTGTTGAATTTGACCCTTGCACAGTAACGAGAACCGAAAGGCCAAGCTTCTCTGACGGTGGTGTGAAGAAGTTCAACATTAAAGTGAATGTGTGGTTCTGCCCGGCTAAAACCAACTGCGGGATTCATAATGTACACACTAAACCGGAGATGTTAGAGGTAGATTTCTTGCCACAGAACAATGTATACTCCCCCCTCCCCCCTCCCCCCAACTCATCTCCGGTTGATGCGTGTGGCACAGTTTGGGTGAGATGCACGTTGCTCACGCGTAAACACAAATATTCCGATAAACCAGTCTTTGGGTACTTTTGTAAACATCGGCATTACAACGTAAGAGATTGGTCGAGTTAGTCTTAGTTTACACTTAATTTGATGCAGAACTCTTTCACACAAAATTGCTGAAATATTAAATATGTCTAAAAAAGAAGGTAGGGTAGAAGTGTTTGATCAATTTTGTACACGAGTATTTTTCTTCAAGTATTGTGTAAATAACCATCTTCATTATTAATAACTGTATTTATTATATTGCGAGGTAGTCCTGAGGTAAATTTCAGCATCCTCATTGGTTCTTACTTGGTCTGTATTTCCCCAAATGGACCATTTCCACAAGAACAGTCGTGAGCCATGTGCTTTTGTTGTTTAAGCCAGAAAATTACAACTAAACAAGTTAGGTCCAAGAGCCATATTATACGTTACTTACTAACCCTGTTTGCCTGAGCTGTAAGAGGGAATATTGGCCCTCTGTCATATTTGTACAGACCTTGCTGCACCTTGTCTATTCTGTCACAGCCAGGGGCCAATATACCCCAGAGCAGCCCTAATGCTCGGTTAGTAAGAAATAATTGTTTGAAGTGACTTATTTAATCTTTTATTTTCATTGCTTGACAGTTTTCCTAATTTCATGAATGTTCTGAATGACTTCTTAGCTCAACGACATGCAATGGATTATTAAATGATTTTTTTGTCATTGTAGGTCCACACCCAGATATATGGCACAGGTAGAATGCAGAAATTCCTCTCCAAAGACTTCAACAGCATTTATGAAGATGTGCTCATGGCACCTGGATTTACCCATGATCCTTTTGCTGGTGTCAAGGACAACGGTGACATCTTCTATGGTTGGCACCAGTACTACTCTGATACTGATTGTATCTGGATGGCCATCGAATACCATCCGGCATGATTCAGTTAAAACTCTGTATTCTTCACCCAAAAGCCAGCAGTCATTATCAAAACACGGCAATAACCTTAGCATAATAGTTTATTTTTTGTTGAGCTATATGAATGTATGAATTGAGTGCTATCTACAAAGCAGAAAAAAGCACTGATATAAAAAGCATGTAGTATCTCTGTGATTGAGTCCACTGCAAATAAATTATTTCATAAGTGAATATTTAGTTTGTTCTTGATCCAAACTATCTCCATCTCTACAAAAGATTGTGTGAAATGTAATCTTTGCAAAGAAACAACATTTCATATATATGATATATACAGTAGGAAGTAAATGTGACAACCCTCCCCCCCCTTCAGATTATCTTTGCTAATCTGTGCCCTATTGTTCATTCTGACCCACCCCTCCCCTCTAGTTTATGGTAGCTACACTTGTTCCGCCAGTTTCTGAAATGCGCTTGCGAAGAACTCCAACAAGTCTCTCTAACCTATGGAAATCAAAGAGAGGGCAAATTATGCACCTAGTCCCCATTGTTTAAAAGGTGGATAAGTTGCTATCCTCTGAATAAAATTCCTATCCAGTGGATAGTGCTACAACTTTTGTTAACAGTTATAAGCTAGATAGCAAGTTACCCATTGGATTTTATTGCCTGCCCTTTTTGCAACTGGGCCCTGATCAAGAAATGCTGCATGTTAGCTAGCTGGAGAAACCTTGTTGACAAACTTAAAAAAAAGTTCTCTGAGGAGGCTTCAGAGACAAAAGGCTTGTCACACTAAAAAGGACTCATTCAACTTGTTGTTATTGCTCTCCATTTCTTCACCTGCAGGAAAATATGAGGTCATGAGCAACAAAGCCAGGGAAAGGTCTTTGAGGGGTTTAGCAGCTCATTTTCAGTGCCAGACCTCCCCCAATCCTCGTCCTGTCTGAGCTCAAATCTTCCAGCAGGCAGTGCCTGTTATGGGAGTTAAATGGGTAGTCTATTGACGATCACACTGCATGATTGACTATTGAACCTGGCCGCAAACCATTTACTGAATACAGGTAACTTACTTATCAGCCCGTTCCTTTTCACGTCGTCTGTTTTTTGAAGCCTCTTCCAGCTGTTTTGCTAGAGTTGTTCTCTCTTGTGAAACAACTTTGAGTTTTTCGACCACTTCATCATAACTGCGCTGAGCCTGTTGAATATCTGCATCTCTTGCTCTGAGGCGAGTTTCAAAACTATCCATTGTCTGATTAAACTGATCTCGCAGGGATTGTTCTTGAGACAATGAGCGGTGTAAACTGAAAGAGAGGGAAGGAAATAAAAATTTAATGAGCAGTGTAGGCAGTAGAGGGGTTATAAAATAATTTCAACATAAACTGTATCCTCCTGTATCCTCAAAACATGTAACCTGAGTTTGTTTTTATTTAAGAAAGATACACTTTTGAATAGCTAACATAGAACAGCAGGAGGTACTATTATTGTTATTAGAATGTTATTAGAATATCACAAGCTCCAAATGTCACGACCATGATTTCCTCTCTAAACAACATCAAAACAAAAAGTACACTGTTAGTAACACTCTTCACATTTGTGCAACACTTTGCATAATATGTTCACACAATACAATGCACTCAGGTTCCAGTAGTCACTGGGGGATCTTGGAGAGGGGCCCAGGGGGCCTGGGTCCCCCTCCTTAGTTCAGTTAAAAAAAAAAAAAAAAAAAAAAAAAAAGAAGAAGGAAGACAAGCTACCCTCCCCCCCCCACTTAGTTCAAGGTCTGGATCTGCCACTGGTAATGTCACTTTACCTGTAATAGACTCTTATTGTTTCCATTTCTTCCTCCAGTCTTTTTGACTTCTTCAAAGCTAGATCTCTTTCCTGTTGAGCTTGAATTGACTGTGACTGTAAAGAAGAAACAGGGTAATAGAGTTTACACCTGATGTTTCGAGCATTAGCCCCTCGTCAGAGCATCAGCCCTTCATCAATCACTCTAACAAATGGCTAACACACAAAATGTCAGCCTTTAAACTCTTTATGGTGGCCAAGTTATGTTATCAACTCAGTTGATAACACTAAATTACCCTTTTATACTCTCCTACCAATGTAGCACCACAGTTTCTTTAGAAACTTACCCCCCTTATTTATTTGTAACAAAGAAAGCAGAGGGATGAAATTCTAGGAGGTACTGAAGGGAAGGGAGGGGGGGGGGTCATGAAGAGGAGAAGGGCAAGGAAAGAGGAAAGAGTACTTAAACTATATCAGCAACACCAACTTTCAACATCATACCTGAATAGCTTTGACCCTTTGTTTGTCCATCAACTTGTGCTGATTTTTCATCAGTTCGATTTCTTTACGTAGGTTGACAACCTCTGCCTCAAGGGCTTTGGCCTAGGTATGGGAGAGAAGCAGAGGGACACTTTGAAAAAGCATGTCAAATTGACTTGCTGACAATCTATGAATCACTCGATTGATGATTCACTGAAGAATTTAAATCACAGTTTGGTAAGATCTAAACCTTAAAGCCTTTGTATCCATGCCAAATGCTTGCATGTATAATGAATAAGAAAGGAAGTTCAACCCTTTAACTCACAGAAGTGATTAACATGCGACTTCTCCCTATAATATCCATACATTATCCAGCAAACAGGTAGTGAGAATACTTAAATTCATCAGATACACAATATTACCTTGATCAAACACCAAATTCTTGTAGCCAATTTACAAGGAAATATGTAGCAGCTAGAGGGGAGAATTAACAATCAGACCTTGGGAGTTAGGGGGTTAAGGCTTTGAGCAAAGCAAGCTTGTGCAAAGCAAGCTGAGAGGTCCGCAAAAGGTCCAGGACACCAAAAAATAAGGACTTATGTGGACATTATTGTTTTTCCAAATACAGTGTGTTCACAGAACTTTTGCTTGTATCAAACTTTCTTGCATGTGAAGAAATGCTTGTGCCACTTGGCTATTAACTGTAGCCTGCATGCAGGCTAAGAAAAAAAGCAAGAAGAAAGGCAGTATTCACCTTTTCTACAGCTGTATCTCTTTCAGCTATAACAGCCTTGAGTTCTTCAGTCACCATTTTCTTTCTGTTCTTCTGTACTGTTCTTATCTTGGTTGCCATTAGATGACCGTTTTTATCAATTAATTCAGGAGTTTCTGATGCTGTTAATCTCCCAAGTAAGGACCTCATGGTCTGATGGATAAAATAATAGTGATGAGAGCTTAGTAAATACAAATACAATCTCCATCAGACAAGAGACAAGAATAAAGAAAATCATCAACTGAGGGATTCTTAGTTGATCCAATACCAAATTCTCCAAACTAACATATAAAAATTGAATGGCATACAGTCAGGAGAATTCCTATCAAAAAGAGCTCTTAAGAGTGAAAGAATTAAGAACTTCACCAAGGTATATTGTTCATAGAAATAAACAGAAATGGAACATATTATGTTTCCAAAATTTTTTAACATTATAAGAATTGTATTAATGGTTCAAAGTATGGAGAACTACAAATTTGATCTAAGAGTTAGAGGATTAAGAGATCCTTTCTTGCAACAAAATATTAGTACAGAGATGAGAGTTTGAGCAGTATTTCTTCAAAGCAGCTCAACTGGTCTGAAATTTATTTTTCAAAAACATAATATTATTGTTAAAAAGTAATATCAATATCTTCTTATGATATCTAATAATTACACATACTGGCTCAGTTTCTTCATCCTCGTACACACTGTCAACACCTGAGTCAAATCTGTCAATCAAAAAAAACCACAAGAATAATGAGACTACTAATTATAATACTTAACTCATTCAAACATCACCTTTTGCTTTATCTGTCATCTAATCATCAAATAAAATCTTTTTTAACCAAAATCTAACTGATCAGATTTAAAGATAAGGTATCTTTTAAAAAGTAAAAAAAGAATTTGATCATGAGCTTTGGGACAGAAGAGGATAAAAAACTGAGATGCCAAAAGAATTCAACCCTTAGCTGGGTGGTTAGCCTGCAGAGCAGACATAATTTTGGTGAGCAAGTACTCAGTAATTTCTTATGAAAATTATGGCTGCCATCTTTGATTTCAATGGCAGTGGAAGGCTGGGGAGAGAAAGAAATTTGTATCAAGGGGGCAGTTGACAGTCAAAAATAAGGAGAGGGGTGGGGGTGGGGGAGTCTAAGAGGAATTTTCTGTGGGAACTTCCATTCTATCTTCATCAAAGCCTTATGATAACTGCATAAAAAAAGTTTTCTTGTGATCTGATTTTAAAGAAAATTTAACCCTTTCACTCCCATGAGTGACCAAGACAGAATTTCTCCTTGGAATATCAATACAATATCAAGTGAACAAGTGATGAGAATAAAGAAAAATATCAATTAGGGGATAATAAGTTGATCCAATACAACTTCTCCAAACTCAGATTGTAAGAATTGTGGTAGACAGTAAGGAGAATTACTGATGAGATCATGGGGGTGAAAGGTTTTAATAACAACTTAACCAATAGTGTAGTTGGCAGCAATTTTCTTAATAGTATTACCCAGTATGTTCTCTTTCAGCTCTTCTAAGTTTGTCAATTAGCTCCTCTCGTTCAGAGTTTGCCATATGCAGTCTGGCATTCATAGCGGCATCTCGCTCCTTCTGGGCTTGGTAGATTTTTTCCACAAGAGCTGTAATGGTTGAAAAACAACATTTCTATTTTATTCAATTTTTTTCCTCATTTTATCCTTCAGTGTAATAAAATTAATTTAGTCTTTTCACTTTGCATCTCCAGCTGTTTTTAACACATAGTAACTTCACATTCCAAATATCATTTCACAAGAGGAGATCCTTCATTTTAATTTTCTGGTTCACAAAACATGCCATGTGGTGAGTTTTGCTATAAACAAAATTAAATTTTCAGCCATTTGATAACCTCAAAGAAAATATTTCTGTTCTTAAAAAGTATTTGACAAAAAAGCTGCATATAGTGCTGTTTGAGAAGTTCCTATTTAGAAGTTATAATTTGCAATTTCCACGATGCTATCAAATCCAGGGAGATCACCATTTCCACTGCTGTCCTTAAGAGGAAGAGGAGTATTCATGCAAATTATAATCCATCAATTATTTTTGCTCATGTTTGATTGGTGTAGAGGTATCACATGATCAAAGATGACCCAGCTAAAACTGGGGAACATCTGGTGATGCTCTCTAAAAGATATTCCTCAATTTTTAAACCTTATGTCCCCAAGTCTTCATTTAAGATCTTTATGCTGGTCTATTTGTCCTTCAAAATCAACTGTACCATGCTGCTCACAGTTTTCCAACAGCATAGCTGAAGGAAAACTGTTCAATTCCTGGAACATACATCCAAGCATATTTTCAATTGAAATAGAGACCATGGTTTATTTAAGGACTATAGTATAAGATTGCCAGTCTTGACAGGTCAATCATTTCCTGTTTCACTCTTCAGTTTTGTTTTCCTTCCTTACCTGCCCCACGAGCAGCAATTTTTGACTCAGTTTGAGCCAAGAGTTCACCACGGCTTACTCTGGATGCTTCGATTTCAGCTTCTGCTCTGGATAACTTCTCTGTTAGCTATACAAAATACCGCAGGTAAAACAAAAATGTTAAATTCAGTGGTAGGTCAAGCGAGGATTATTTATGAGGATATAATTTTTCTTTTGTTTTCAGAAAAAGTTTTCACATGTATTTTTTACTCTGTTTTATTTGGACATAAAAATATTACAATGTAATATTCATAAACTTTAGATACAATAAATCACTATAAACCCTTCAACTCCCAGAAGTGATTAACATGCAACTTCTCCCTATAATATCAATACATTTTCCCACAAACAAGTAATGAGAATACTCAAAGTTATCAGGTAGAAGTTGTTATCTTGATCTAACACCAAATTCTCATAACTAATTTACAAGGAAATGTTTAGCAGTTAGAGGGAGAATTAAACAATCAGATCTTGGTAATAAAAGGGTTTAAATAAATATATTGTTTTCTGTGTTTGTCAAAATATCTTACATATAGCTGCCAATTATATTGTGCTGTTTACCACTATATTGGTTAAAAAAGTTAAACGAAAATTACTCATTTTGCAAGCAAACCCTTAAAAATTGCAATTGAATTACCTGTAGATTCAAGCGCTGTGCAAGGGATAATTCTTCCCTAAATGAGGAAGTATCCTCTCCAAAACTGCTCGTTGTATTCATGAGTGAATATCCTTCATTCTCTGCACGCAAGCTCATAGTTTTTTCCTTGTATAGTTCTTCAGTTTTCTCTGCTAATTCTGCCTCCAAGGTTTTTCTTAATGACTTTTCTGCATCCAGAAGTTTATCCCTAAATTACAATTTACATTGTTTATCAAAAGTACTTAAAATACATTTGTCTAAATTTCTCTTGGTTCCAATATCCACAATTTTTGCAAGTTGTATTATTCATCAACAGTGATTATTGGTAGTATTATACAAAGGGTATGATGTTGTTGTATTAATAACATGTCTACAGATAACATCAACTATTTTTACCAACAATTGTAAGTGATTCTCATTAATCTTATATGTGCACTATTAAGTTTAATAGGAAGAAGACTACCAAACGTTTTTGTCATATTTCAAGGACTGAGAACGGTTCGTACCTTGTCAAGTGTTTTTTGTCATAAAAATTAAATCTGACGTACTTCAGTGGATAATTTTATTACTAAATTTGCATTTAAGAACACTTTGAAAGATAAAAAAAATTAATATCATTGGTTGTTTTAATCTTTGTCTATTCGTTATTCAGGATCACAGTACTTATTTACAAAGTTGATACTTCGTATATGTATGCAAACTTACCATAAAATCTATCCACGGTGTTGAAGCTAAATTGGCCGGTTGCCATAATGTTTTGGAAAAGAAGACTTCACAGCTTTGCAATTACACCGTACATTAATTTTGTTCGACGAATTTTGTATAAAAACTCCGACTTTGAGACCAGCAATTAAAGTAGAAAATGCCACACAATGAAACAGCGGAAATAAGTCATCACAGAGTTTACATCGATCGATAAAAACTTCTAAATCATTTTTTAAAACTCAGCACCAGCAAAGCTGTGAGAGTCAGACATGTTTGTTTATCGCAAACAGCAGGTTGATGGAAACAAGACACCTCAGGACCACATTTTAAAACGATGAAACGATACAATAGTCAAACAAAAGAAAATTAAATACACACTGCAATTAAAATGTTAAAAATACTTTCAAAAGCCCTCGAGACCCGTACGCGCATTAAAGGAATTCTACGAATAATCCATAACCTCATACTGTCATGGTCGTACTGTCGTTCAACTTTGCGGGAGTTTAGCGCTCTAAACTATTCAACCGAGTCATCAAAACTTCCTCTCTTAGTTTCTTGTGCTAGTATTTAATTCTAACAAATAAATAAACACACGATCAAGACTTGTAATCAACGCTCGAAGCTCGATGGCGTCCATGCAATGTTGCGTTGCTACACAAGTTCAGAAACGAACTGATATCCGTAGACCATCAAAAGAGCCAATATTTTAAGCATATTTAAACTCAATATTTGAAACAAACCATAATCTATTTGGTGATGAATTCAACTGATATGGAGCTGCATGGATATCAAGCCTAATGATAGCTATATTCAACCTACTTTTCCTCCAGGTCCAATCGAAGGTTTGTGATTCGCTGGCGGGCACCTTTCATTGCCGCCCTCAAATTCTGTCGTATTTCACCTGGATTTTCCAGATCGGATTTATGCTCCGAGTAGCCATTTACTAGGCCATTGTGGCCCCTGGTGAAGGAATCATCTGCTGAGTTGTCAAGGTATTCTAGCCCTTCGTGAATTGACTCCATACTGGACGCAAGAATATTCCAGTAAATAAATTAGTGTTTAGACATATTCAATGTTGGCTGCGTTCTAACCAATCAGCAGTGAGACAAAGTCTTGACGCCTCAGAGCGCATACACGCAGTATCGAACAAGAAACATGGCAGCCTTCTACTGTGCTTTCCCCCGCAGACTCCTAATGAAGTCTTTTTGGCGGCTTAGTTCTTCTCAAAAACTCTTCAGAAGCACGTTGTCGTTCAATTTACTGACCAGAATTCACGGAAAGGCCAAATTCTCCAGAAAAGCGGTCGGTCAAAGTGAGGCGACTTTTGAGGCGAATGGCACAAATTGTAGTGAAAATGTGGTCAGTGTTAGTACAAATTCTTCTTTCGTCCACCCTGACAAACGAACGATATTTGTGGGGAAACTAAATCCCATAGCAACAGAAAATTCAATCAAGGTTTACTTCGCTCAGTTTGGAGAGGTGGAAGAGGTTTTTTTGAAAAATCCCAAGAAGTTTAAACAAATGTGGCCATATGCATACGTGCAGTTTAAAGATGTCTCTAGCATGGAAAAGGTTCTCTCTCAAAGGCATTTGATTCACATGAGATACGTGCAAGTGGATGCAGCTTATATGAAAAACTCTCAAAACAAGATTTGCGTCTGCAATGTTCCACAGGAAATGACAACATCAGAGTTAAAGGCGCATTTTTCACATTATGGGGAAATCCAAGACGTGAAGGTGGTCCTTATGGTTAATCCTCGCTATTGCTTTATTGAGTTTACAACCGCAGATGCGGTGCTAAAAGCTCTTGAAAGTCCCATCCATAAAATTGGTGAGAGCGAGGTAGTTGTGAAGAAGAGCATTGAAAACGCGAAAAAGATCCATGTGAAAAGGAGAGTCTGTATACATGAAGTTCCAGAAGGGCTAACATTGGAACATTTGAAAGATTACTTTGCACAGTTTGGAAGGTTAGCATTTATCGATATGATTTTCATGCGTAATCACAAGCTGAAAAGAGACATGGCAATTTTGGCCTTTTTCAATGACGAGCCTGTCCAAGTGTTAGAAAAAAATTACCTGCACATAATTAAAGGAGAAGAGGTGATGGTAAGGCGCGCCAGGTCTCAGGATGGGAACAAGGAGCGTAACGTACAAATCTTTGTGGACAAGATTCCAGGTTGTGTAAAGAAGGAAGAACTGACACAGTATTTTGAAGGATTTGACGATGATGTTATCCACCTCAGCATGAAGAGGTGGGGAGGAAAAGAAAATTTTCAAAGTGCATTTGTTACTTTTAAGAAAAAATATACAGTTAACAAAATTATGGCCAAAGCTGAACATTCTATTGGTGCAAGACAGTTTATCGTTAAAAGGTTTGGATGGAGTGCTTGAGAGCTCTAACTTGTCATTAAATTAGGTGGACACAAAGTTTGTTTCTGAATTTTACAAAATATGTTCAAAAGTTTCATTCTGATTTGCTGGGAGAGATGAAGTTTTCAGGTAATATAATGCAGGAGATTATTCAGTGGAAAAAAAAGGTAACAGAGTGTTTCACTGGGCATTGAAATTTTTTGCAGCTAAGAAACTTAAAGAGAAAGAAAGTTTTGTTTTTTGGTGAATGTGGTTGTCTTGATTTGATGGCAAAGGGAAGACTGTCTTGCTCATTGTGCCCGTGGGGAGTACTCCATAAAGTGGAAATATTAATTTTTCCTCTCTACCATAACTATTATTTTGATCACTCATTTACCAATGCTGTTTGATTTTTACTTGGTCATGAGAAAAGTGATGCACACTTTGTAAAATGTTCACCTTCCTTTTTATTGTTTAAGTAAATCAGAAATATAGGTATGATATGGCTACATTCACTTGCATTTCTTCAATATGAAGTGTATCAATGTAAGAATGTTTTGCAAGCAAACCATGTTCATGTGAATTGAGGCTGCCCAGCTACCATGACCATGAGCACACACCTCCTTGATCTAAAATTTTACTGTGTCCATAGAGTATTTCAAGGAATTTCACATATACATGGAAGAATAATAACCTACGATTGGGTAGTAGCATACAGGCAATTGTAAGAAAAGTTAAAAATGGATAGTTTGCAAATTTCAGCCTAAAAATATATTATGCATTCATATTCTCAAAAATAATGAAAATGTTAATTTTTTCAAAGTTCTTGGAACTCACTCTAATTGCCTCCTAAACCAGTGGAAAAGAATTGTGAAGTGTAATTTTGTGACACTTGTTGTCCAAATAATATCAAGGTATACATGTAAAAATTGAAATCGCTGTCAAGGATAGAAGGGCAACTGCAGAAATCTAGTTAAGGCAAAATGATAAGAGTTCCATAACTTTTTTTAGTAATTAAGAAGCTCTCCCTCACAATACTTCGAATTTCACTAGGAAAAAAATTTCCATCTAATAGATGGAAATAGTGAATTTTTTTTGAAGGGCATATGAGGGAATTAAAAAATTTGCAGTAGATTTTCCAAGATCTTCACACTGTCGTGTAGTTACATGATCAAATCTTACTGTAAGTCAACTAAACTGCTCTAAAATATATGACAAGAATAAATAAATTGACTTTCCCTCCACATGAAAGAGACCAACTTAATAAAAGGAGTGAAAATTTAAACCTAATAGCTGCATCATGTGGGTTGCAGCAAGTTGAAAATGGGATTAAGGTTGCCACACTATTGAAAACTGGAGTTTAATTCATTAGAAACAACCTCAGTTCCCATAAAATAATTTGTCTTTCACTCACAAGCAATGATTCAGCAATAGAAGTTTACACACAAACGGGCACTTGTGGCATTGGAAAGTGCCAAATGCCATTCACCATTACATGATTATCTTCAATACCCCTTTCTCACACAACCGCAGCTATTGCCAGTACACTAAAATGTTCTCTGTTTCAATTATACCAGTACCTCATCAAGCCATGTGATACAGTATGAAAATAACAATGTTTCAGACACAAACAATAATAATAAAGTTAGTTTTTTTGGGATTCATGCTGTGATTTGTCTGCTCCTATATTTGCTGGATCTCTTCTTTTAAATATTAACAAGACCGGTTTCCATTCACTACAGACAATTTTTTTAATACAATCCATGGAGAAGTTGGTCTTCAACTTGCCAACCTACCAATCATACCAGATTTAGCAAATTTGACAAATTCCTTTACAGGAACAATTTCCATGGAATAAGTCCTCTACTGGAATCAAACACAACCATGCTGTGAAATCCTTTAAATAAACACAGCCCTTGAACCTCAAATGTAGTGCACTGACTTGTGCACTAGCACTACATTCAGAATGTTAATTTTTAAAGAGACAGGTTTAAGGCTTCAGAAGACGTGACCTGTAAGCAGCTTGGTATAACTGTTTCAGAGAAACATGGTGATCACAAATGAAAATCCTGCTCCAACACCCAAACCAATGATAAGCATGAAAGCCATCATAGTTCCTGCTGTTTCTGCATGTTCTGGCTCCACCATGCTGTGATAAAATGAAAAGGAAAAAAAAGAGTGAAAATTAACCTTTAGCATCTAATCTCCTTGTTCTGTTATTAGAAATACCAAATCCATAATATCTAAACTATAACCCAAAATTATTAGGAAGTCATTTGCATATTCTGAACCCACAGACTTAATGAATAATCACATATCAAAAACAACAAAAAAAGATAAACAAGTAAGAACCACTTATCACAGAATATTGATTATAATAAAAGCCCTACACTTCAATAGACACCAAAGTTTCCACCACTTAACTTTACTCTTTAATTCCCAAGAACCAATTCTTAATTCTCCCAACTAGCTGTTAGACATTTCCTTGTAAATTTGTTATGAGAACTTGGTGTTAGATCAATAACAATTTGAGTATTCTTATCACCTGTTTGCTGATTAATGTAAGGACATTGTAAAAAAAAAAGTTGAATGCTAATCAATTCTGGGAGTTTAACCCTTTCACTCCCAAGATCTAATTAGTAATTCTCCTTACTATCTGCCATACAATTCTTATGATGTTAGTTCAGAGAATTTGGTATTGGATCAACTAATGATCCCATAATTGATATTCTTCTCTATTCTCATCACCTGCCTGCTTGATATTGTATCGATATTGTAAGGAGAAATTCTGTCTTGGTCACTTGTGGGAGTGAAAGGGTTAAGGGCTAAACCTTACACAGCACATCTGATGAAAGTAATAACCCCTAGCTTTTCACCACCAATGATTTATTTAAGTAACATGCAACAAAGTGTGAAATTATTTCTTTACTTGAAAACGATCCTGACAAAAAATACAAGTTCAACCAAGTGTGATTGCTAAATATTTTCCAAAACAATTTACTCATGAAAACTAAATGAGGTAATTTGAGTGTAGTTTTTGTCTTTATCATTACCATTTTAATCATCATCACCATCATCACCATCATCACAATGCAACTACAGATTAATTAGTAATATATCAGTATATAAATAAATAAATTACTGTTTAACTTACGATGGTCCATACATCATGCACAAGCTTCCAAGATAACCATTTGAGATGGCAAATAACACCATGAATATTATTGGGAAGTAATCCTCATGGAAAAATATTGGAGTGCCATGTGGTCTCGGCAATGCATTACATAATGCAAACAAAGGAAGGAATACCACTCTTGAGAAACAGAGAATAGGCAGAAGATAACCATCTTTGCCAGGCTGAAAGAAAGTTGGATGAAGTAATCAGTAAAACAAACACTCATGAATGACCAAGTTGTATTCTTCGATAAATGGCTGCATTTAAGATATTTTTCAAAAGTAAATGGAGCTGTACACATCAAACTTGCACAGCAACAGTAGTAAAGGGACAAAGCTAAGGAAATCTCAAACAGTTAGAAATCTCTACAGCTGACTAAAACTACAAGGTGATTTTTTTCATAGTGCTCCACAGGGAATCAATAGTAAGAACTTGCCCTAAAGATTTGCACCTAACAAAATATTGTTACTACACTCAACTAAGCATTTTGTATGGATTTTATCATTATTTAGTTAACCCTTCAACCCCTAAATGACTAGCATCTAATTTCTCCTTATAATTTCACCTCTAATTCACACATTGAGAGATCATGAAAATAAAGGAGATGATCACCAACTAAAGAGGCTCCTGGTGGTTTTAAAAAAAAATGCTCCTGGTCAGCACCTTAGGAAATATATAGAGGACAGTATGGAGAATATGAATACTGATGTTAGGGTGTAAAGGGCTACTTCTACAATAACTGGTTGTTTGCTATAAACTTTTGAATACAAACTGTGCTGATTAACTCCTCCAAGAACAATTTAAAATGCTCTTATCCAAAATACTCACCCACTGTGTAAAAGAAGCTGCTAGTCGGCCACAGAAGTCTCCAACATTGAACAAAAGGAAGCATGTTACAGGAACAAAATAGATTTCTACAAACAAACAAACAATGTCAAGTAAGTAACTTTACACATTAATAATTGCCCAAAAGATGTATGTGTGGTACTGAAAGTTATATGGAACTCTTCTGTTAGGATTTTTTAGTTGGTGTATTCACATCCAAGATTAGGATATTGACAGCTCAGAGACAATACCAGGTAAAGTCATGCAATTCTAAACAACATTGACTCAAAACAAGCCTCAAATTGTTGCTTTCAAGGTCATAATTTGCATCCTGGAGGCTTTGTGCATGCCTTTAGATATATCTTTTTTCATTTTAATGATTTTTCTTTTAATTTCTCCAATTTAAAGGGGATTTGTACACAAAGCTATGTAATAAAAAAAAGAGGCCACTGTACTCATTCAAAAGCTTAAAACCATTGTACCTCTTTACCTGGCCCATTGTTCAAAAAATAGCATGTTCTTGGAATGCACAAACATGAATTTGCCTATTTATGTGATTATAAAGCACAGTACTGGGTGTGCAGTACAATACTGAGGAATCACCATATGCTATTGGGACTTTCAAGAAATGGGCTCCTGGTGAAATTTAGTTTTGCTTTGTTCCTTTCTGGTTGGTTGGGACAATGACACAGGTTCTCTAAAATAATCACTGCATGAAGTAAAGAAAACCAATGCACTCTTGCATCACTTTTAAGAATCAATTATCTTATGTTGCTCTTTAAAAATATACCAGTCACATTTTTTTATTACAGTTATTTTCTTACTTGTCCACTCTGAGCCATCATCTTCGTGCTTTGATCGTATTCTGGATGTCAATGAAGGAAAAGCTGCTAATGTCACAAAGAATACAAACGCAACAGATGAACCTAACTTGAAGATCTGCAAGAAAAAAGAAATAAAATAATAATAATGAAAGACACTCATTTATAAATATCCTTGAAAATAGCCCATACATGAAAAGTTCCCTTCCCTCCCAAGTACTGTTGTTTGCATCTGAGCATGAACATGTGACATCAAAACATGATCTGACTGGGTGTTACCATTAGAAAGATTGTCATTAAATAATGTGCATAACTGACCAAGCATGAGGTCAAGATGGCTGGATATTAGCCTTGTTTTTAAAATTGCTTTTTTGGGGACCTTGACTTCGTCTTGGTCTATTAAAACGCGAAAAAAGAACTCAGCCAATATCCAGCCTTATTGACCATACAAGCTTGAACAATAAAGGATTTATTACATAGCAAAAACATTTTGCTTAATAATCAAGAGTGACTTGTTTATTTCAAAAGCCTGGAAAGAAAAGCAATCTGCATCAGTTGCACAATAAACCCACTAGAGTTGTTTATGCTCTTTTTGTTTTGAATGCCTTCTACCACTTTTTGCAACTCCATTACCAAAATTGTCCAAAAATGACAAACTTTGAAAGTCTGCTCCATGCACTTTTTTTCCTTGCATGAGATCAAAGCAGACAATCCCAAGCAGGCAATATGGGCCCATCTTGCCCACTCGGGGTGCATTATTTGCTTCATAGCCCTCAAAGGTGCCTTCAGCTATATAATAATTAAAGTTTTGGCATCGTGGGTTTACCCATAGATGCGAGTGATGCTATTGTCATCGCAAAGAAGTGGATGACAAGCCTACACAATTGTACCATACCTGTCTAAAAATCACAAAAAATGGTGGCCTTTCATTCCCAAAAGCTTCTGCTTCTTTTGGATGAAACTTAACTGACAGAAGTGCCTCATTATCCAAACCTTAAAAACAGACCACTCAAAGAAATAAGTGTGAGACCAAAAAGAAATTATTGATTTGCCTCTTCCATGATAAAAAAGAAGTAAAACAAAAAATAAACATGTGAGATATTCTAGAACTTAGATAGAACTAGACTACTCCCAAAAAAAGAAGAATTTCATTACTTCAAACTTCTTGATGACTAGTAATATCAGTTTGGGAAACTGAGGGTCACAGACAACCATGATAAATTTACAGTGATCTCAAGAAAAACAAGTCCACATCTAGGGTGCAAACATCCAAGATAAAAATTATTATGGAATAACTAAAGGGTCCAAATCCTAAATGCTGCCACTTACGAGATCAGGATAAAAACTTTGCTCTTACTTAAGTTTGAGTTTTGAATGATCCCTGATCGTTTTACAGCTGGTATCTGCCAGTTTGCCAGTCTTTCAATCTGTTCACTTTGACTATATGGGCTCTCTGTGAAGAAAGCAACAAGAAAACCATTGATAAATAAATAATGGACCTAAGCCCAGCAGATGTCCTCAGTGATAGATAGGCAAGAAACAATGAATTAACCCTTAAAGTCCCAGAGGTGATTAACAGGTAACTTCTCTTTGTAATATCCATAAATAATCTAGCAAACAGCTCACGAGAACACTCAAACTTATCAGGTAGAAATTATCTTGATCTAACACCAAATTCTCAAAACTAATTTAAGAGGAAATGTGTAGCACTAGGGGGAGGGGGGGGGGATTACTGTAAGACCTTGTGAGTCATGGGATCAAACACAAACTGTAATTGACATAGTAAGCAAAACACATTGGCCAGAGCAACAATTACTTGTCACACAGTTTATTCTGAATGGACCTGATGGGCTATTGAGTGGGAAATTGTGCTTTACTGATCTAGCCACCTCCTTCATATCTTACTGAAAGCACTGAATTCTATCACTAAATTGTTCAAATATTGAGCCTTGTAAGTCTGCTCCAAGTATTTTTTTTTAACTTGTAGGGGATCAAAGCAAGTGATTCCTAACAGGCAAGATGGGCACATCTTGCCCGCTTGCTAGCCAATCAGAACACAGGATTCACTTCATATTAATCACAGGCACTATACAAACAAGCAAATAGAACATAATCTATACTTACTGATTTCAGTTCTTCTGCTATTTGGTGCTATATAATGTCTAGCAAATTTCTATAGGAAAAAAACACAATTTTGAGTGGAGACTATGTTTTGTTTCATTCTAAATGACTCTACCTTTAGCAACCACTAATGCATCTATGATGCACTATGGCAAAGTGCTATTAGCATTTTGGAATATTTTAATGAAAAATAGGTAAAACCTTAAGATTATAAAAGAGTGCACAGGTCTACAGATACTAACCCACGATAAGGGAAAATTGAATCACACATTAAGTTGTTAATTAAAAACCCTACAAAGACTTCTGGTAACTAAGTACAAAGAAAAAAGCCAAATTAAAGCTGGTGACACATCTGGTGATTTTTGCCGATCACAGTGATTGGCAAAAATCACAAGGTGTGCCCTATTGTAGTGATGGTGATTTAAAAAAAAACAGCTGCTATCTGACAGGCTACTAGCAATCAAATTTACTATGATTGGTGAATAAAATTGCTAAGTGGTGTTACCTACTTAATTAAGTTAAACCCTTGACCAAAGACAATTTGTTTTTAGTGTGTTTTCATCTACAGAGAAGTTTACCAGCAAGCCTTGCCTTTGAAAACTGCACCCCTTTTTCTATAATTGAAAAAGCCTAACACTCCAACCTTCTTACCAGTCTATTTAACATCATGTATGTGATAAGACATAGAGTGAGCACTACTGCTGCTGACATGAAGTACCCGAAGCCACTGCTTACAGCATCCTTTCCTCCTAGAGGAAAAAAACCAAGTAAACACTTTAAGAAAAGTGATGCAAACTGTATATTACAAGAAGAAAAAGTTTTTCTGAAAGAGCATTTTGATGGAACATGACTGAACTACAGAGAAAACAATGGAAAACAACACAGATTTGTGTATTATTTCTATGATTCTACGAGCCCATAGAAAATAACTCAAAAAATATTATGAGCAGAAAAACATTCATGATTGCAGTGTGATTTTCATAGAAAAATTAAATGGTATATTAGGGCAAATCCAGTGCAAACTCAAGATAGGAACTACAAATAACTTGCTAATTTAAACCACTTTGTTGTGTGACCAAACAAGCATGTACTAGTAGGAAAATAAGGAGTCTACTTTGCCAATAAAGATGGTGAAATTCTTAAGCAAACTTGGTTTGCCATACATGTATTTCAGACCTTGTGACCAGAATTCTCACCAATATTCAGAGCAAACTCATATTTCTTTCAGCATCCAATGACAAAACTCTCTCAGACTATCAGATTGTAGATAAATAAAGGGCATAAGTTTCTAAAGAAACTGTGATGGTGGGTCAAGGGGGGGAGGTTGTTACAATATAATTTGGTTTTAACAAATGAGTTAATGATGTAAATTGGACACCACTTAGTTTCTAAAGCTGATGTTTAGTATTAGCCTTCTGTCAGATGCTCAAAATTACAATCAGCTAACACTCAAAATATCAGCTTCAGAAACTCTTTATGGTGGCCAATCCACAATGTCAACTCAGCTTATAAAGCCAAACTATAAGATGATACATGTTACTTACCTAGCAGTGAGAATATACTAGCTAAAGCAGCAAATGTGCCTCCAACACCCTGCCCAGAGAGAGGATGTTAAAAAAGTTGAGTTGAATGACAACAAAAACATTACTTAGAAGCGAGGGAGAGAGGTTTTGAATTATCTGATTAAGAGGGTTTAAAAATGAGGAAAAAGAAAATCTAGTACAAAACCTGTAGACCGTTTCCTTCTATTTGATTTTTCTTATCACACATTCTGTTTATCTTCACTATGCTAAAGAAAACCAGCATAGTACATTGTACCTTCTACTGGTCACAGAGTCAAATCTGCACTATTACTAATGTCAGTTTAATATCTATTAGAGACCATAAACATTAAGTACTTTACCTGACCAGTCATAACAGCTCCAGTGTATTTTGGAGGCATCATTCCACAGACACCAAAGAGTCCTCCTTGATAAATTGCACTGCTCACTGTAGAGGACAGAAACTCAGGATTAACTTAAAATGTCTTTGTACACAAAGGCTCCATGTCTCTGCACACCTGTGGCAGCACCAGTGTTCAACATGCAATTCAATTTGAAATATACACCAGCATGGAGGACCCACCCATAAACCATTCATCAATAACAAGCATAAAATATGAGCTTGTCCACAACATTCAAGGTAAAGCTGCCTTCAAAGAGAGTGAATTTAGTGGCTTTTGTTATCAACTCCCTTCTTTCCAATATCTATACTTGTACATGGACAATGCTCATGTTCAGAAAATTACTTCATATTTTTTCAGGTGATCTGAGATATCAATTTGTTTGTAAAATAAGTTTGTAGAAAAAAGATAACAAAACCATCTTTACAAGATCAGTTATCAGATCAGTTATCACTTACTGTTAATAAGGATGATAGTTCCAATTGTGATGTAAAAGAAATCTGTTGTCCCTGTGGATTAAATAAAAATGTCCAAAATTATAATCACTTCATTTGAGTATAGCTAAATCTGCTAAATTTCCAATACCTGTCAGTTTGAAAATTTCCAGAAATTTGAAAGGATTCTTATTATTGTCACTTGTGAGAGTAGGAGGATTCAAGAATGGAAGAATAAGAAAGCATTGAGCTTCCTTGCTTGTACTTAGTGCAACATTGCAGTTGCATGAACAAAAACAGACACAACATAAGAGATATCATGGAGTAAATAACTATGCTCAGGGCATGAAATTAATTTTTTTTTCTGATAGCCACTTGGCTCCTTAATTCTTCAAAGTGGTAGCCAAGTGAAAAAAAGTTGGTCGCCATTTTCAAAGACAAACAAAACCTTCTTTTAAGCTGTCAGCATTCTAGACAGCCCCTCCAAAACTAAGTTTGGGAAAAGATCTTTAACGTGCTACAAAGTGGACACTAGGATGGACGATATACAACGTTAAAGCTCACTTAATTCCAAGATAACGTCTAGTTATCAATCGAGATGCATCTGTTGTGTTTTGGAAACAAACATAGCGAGGAAGTTTGCAAAGAATTTATCTTTGCAAATCTTTTTAATTCACTATATCTCTTGGTAAGGTTATGATGAAACATTCTAGTTGCCAATTTGGCGACTAATTTCCAGGATTTGGTCACCAAAGTGAAAAAGTTAGTCGCATTGGTGCCTGTATTAGGTGCAATTTCACGCCCTGATGCTGCAATTATTACTATATACTTCTCAATAACTGAGTTTAAGGCTCATACTGAGCCTTTTCCAGTCAAGATTTATTGATTTAGCAAAATAACAAAGTTCTGAAACTTGCAGCATAGACCAAGAAAACAAGAACAGTAAGATATTTCATATCTTGTATCTGTGGATTCAAATAGAGGGGTATAATTTCAAATCCCACCAAACTCTAATTTAACAGGCTGTATAATTATTAAAATATGGTCACTAACTATAATACAACTATAATAAAGATAGATACTCACATTTTTTGGTGTCAATCACTACCAAGACTGTTGTCAAAACAAAACACAATGTCATAATACACACTGATGTGATCATTCTGACTTGCAGTGGAACCCTGAAAGAAAAGTGTGTCAATAGCTAATTTTGTGAGGATAATTTGAACAATGAAGTATTTAAAACAGTTCAATTTTTGCATGCTTGGCTCAATATTATTAACACTAAAACAGGATTTGGTCAAAGCTTGAGTCTTGTGTAACAGAATATATGAAAAAAATTGTATACAGTAGGTGCAAACAGCCCATGTGTCAAAATAGAAGACGTCAAGTGCTTTATTTTTGCGTGCGAGAATCACATTGTTTCCTCAATTCTGTGAATTGAGAACCTTGAAATTAATCCTCAACACTCCATTCTCAAAAGTTTCAAAGTTTAAGTCTAGACTGTCAAAGGTACTATTTTGAAGGGAAAAAAAAACATTCTTACTTGTGCTTAAAAAGGGTGTTGAGTAAGAACATTAGAACATTGGGCACCATGGCTGCTACTGAAAAATAATTCTCAAAGCTATGCTTCAGATCTTTATCTGCCTTTAATTTTTCTTGGAAATACTGTTAAAAAGAATAAAGAATAAGTGTGAGTAATCTGGTGAACATGAAAAATAAAAATTTGCCATATCCTGAAGCAAACAATTGTATCTCACAAGAAATCACATTTACCCAACAAAAATAAAACAAAATAACAACAACAAATCTAATTACTGCAAAAAGAGGTGTGTTTTGAATGTTAGGGAGTATTGTCAACAAAACCAATGGAGAGAGAAACCTACAGAAATCCAGGGCCTTAGGAAGACCTTAACACCTCAGGCTTCTTTTCTAGAAGATAAAATAACTGATTTAACAGAGACGACTGTTTCATTTCATGCATACAATCATTATACTTACTGCATGTGCAGTGATGAACATGTTCCAGGGCAACAGGGTGCCCACTCCTTGAATAAGCATGATAAAGTAGACCACATTGAACCTGCATAAAGACATTGTTACTGTTTCATAAACATAACCATATAATACTTTAAAAGGATTTAAAAGTGTTAAAGGAAAAAACAAAAGAAACTTGCTCAGTGCTTGTATCACAATCTTCTAAGTGAGGGAATGTTTCTGCTAAGTCCCGCTAAATAAGTTACACTTAAGGGGTTGAGGATTTATTGGGTTTTGTGATGATGTGGTAAGTGACAGCGACAGTGACAGAAGATATTTTGGTCTGGGTTTCAACACTATCTGCTGACTGCACTAATTTACAAAGGTGTTTAAGAAAAAGAGCAAAATAAGCTCATGACAATGCTTATAAAGTAATGAAGGAAATACTTCTAACAAGTATCATCAAATCAACATCATTTAAGAGACCAATATTTTCTGTTTTTTGATGAGGTAAGTGACAGTGAAAAATTACAGCCAATAGTTAGATCTGCATTTCATCAGTATCCACTAACTTCAATAAATCTAACCACAGGCAGATCACACTATGTGTTCATGGTTAATAATTGTTGACCTGAGACAAAAAAAATTTATGAGGGTTAAGAATAAAGCTATGGAAATGACATATCAAATTTACATCTCCTTCTGAACATCTCAATAGGGTTAAATGGAATGTCAGTTGATGCATGTGATATTTTTTAGCCCTCATGGGCCATTTGAAGCCTTTTTGTATGAAATTACTTTCAGCCAGAGGCCATTAAGATCAATGTCGTTGTTGATCAATGAGATGTTGCTTTATCTATTTGCCGAATTTGAGCTTCATCCCTCCAACAATTTCCGAGAATACCAATCCTGAATTGATGAGTACCCCTTTCTTAATATGATTGGTTCCAAACTCAGCAACCAAAGAAATGCAAGGCAGGAAGGCTTTTTCAAATTTACCATACAGCGCAGCAACTTCCTGTGGCAGCCCACTGCCTTTCAAAACCAAGTTATACACTGATTGGTAAATTTGAAATGAACTGCTCACTTCAAATTCTTTGGTTTGCTAAGTTTGACCTAGATGTAATTAAGATATGCAATTTTCAGAGTTTCATTCTTAACCCTCAGAGATTTTGTTCCCCTCATGGCAATAATTATTTACCATGAACAGATAATGTGATCTGCCTGTGATCTAACACAACTAACTCCTCCCTTGACTCTCATAATAACTGCTGGTGAGGTGCTCATATATTAACCAAACTTGCCATCAACATTCCTTGTCAACACGAACTTCACCATGACAATCAAACTACAATTTATAATTATCCCTTTATTGCTACAACCAATCCTTTTACTGGATTATCTATTTCTCCTTCTTTATCTTTCAAGAATTGAACTACACTTGATGCTTCCTTAACCCTTTATATCCAAAAATCAGTATGCTTATTCTTCATACTAATCTTTACACATTTCCTAAGGTGCTGATAAGGAGAATTTGTTTACAAATCAAAAGCATCGTTTGTTCGTGATCATTTCCTTTATTCTTATGACCATAATGTGCAATTCAGGAGTGATATTATGGGGAGAAATTTGATGCTAATCACTCTTAGGGCTTATAAGGTTAACTTTCAATGCTGCCTAATCAGAACATCAACTCTTGGTCAATATTTAAATCCATTTATAACTTGTTCTTACTTCCACTGAACTTAATCTTTGTTTCTAGTAATTCTACTGAACTATGCTCTTTAATAGTTGTAATCTTCTTATCTCAATCTGTGAGAGAAATACAGGCACAACAACATCATAATTCAGAATTTTTAATTCATAAAGCGAATAATTCCTTGTTGCCGATAGCACAGTATCTAATGCCAGCTATTGGCAGTGATAAATTAAATATCACGTCATGATCACTAAAAGAAAAGCATCCTTGCTCTAAAAACATGTTAAAACAAGATCCCATATCTAATTTTGACTGTAAGATCCCATCGCTAATTTTAATCATAAAAGTATTAAAGGTCATCTCCTGGAGAACGTCAGAAGAAAAAAAAAATTGAACTCTCATCGACCACCAACGTTGCCAATTCATCACTCAAATTAATTCTTTATCTTTTCGCGTAAACGTAACTCTTTCGTTAACATTAAACAAGGTATATATAGCTAAGGAACGACATGTTTCATGAGCATGCTTTGAGCAGGAAACTTGAAAAATTTCAAAAAAAAAAGGTTGCTCATAAAAAATATCTTATTATGTAATCGGATTATTTTCAGCCAACATTGTAATTTGTTCTCAAGTTACGATGTCAGCAACTTTGCAACTTGTTGCTGTTCTCTTTTTTTAGAAATTTTCATCGTCGTTTGACTTCTAACTTCATGCATGCACGAAAAAAATGAACTCACGTAACCTGTGATTACGGTTTAGCTACCACAGTGGATGTTCGCACTAAAGTAAAATCCAGGTTTCGGCAAGGGGTTTTCACAATAATTGAATATCCGCTGCAGAATGTCCGCCTATTGAATTTCCGTGAGGAATACGTAAATCTCTCACGTTCGCATCTTTGCGACAAAGTCAAAACCACTAAAGTGCGGACGTCATATTTTCTTTCCAATCTTTTTTCTTTTTTTTTTTTTTCAAAATACCTTTGATTAACCACCTGCCTTTATATTTCTTTTCTAATATAGTCATTCGTATTTAACACTGAGGTTATGTCTGTCAATTTTCTACGTTGGTTCAAACATCTGATCGGCCCACTATTTCAAATGATTAGAGAGTACCCCCAAAAGAGATGTTGGAAAAGCTCGGGAAGGAAGCTCCAAGGAAATACAAGTTATCGCACAAGAGAGTGGGAGATGAATTAACATAACGACTCTGCTGACAATTAATTTTGTTTTAGCGTGCTTAACAAGTCCTTGGCTACTGCCAGCGACATGTATCAACTTTGTCTCTTCCCGGTAGCTCAAGCAATCGAACGGACAAAGCTTCCCCCATCTAACAACCATAAACGCTCGCGAAATTGAGTTTCAAACTTAGAAGCTTACATTGTTCGACAATAAACCACTGACCCTAAAAATAAATTAAGTTATACGTAAACTGTAAATATAGCATTTATCGGTTCTCCTGGAAGTTTTCTCAAAGCAGGCAACTTATCTGCAAAGATTGGCTCTCATTCTGGACTACAGGATGACTAAAACCTAACACAACCTGTTCCGGAGAACAATAAGTGAGCTAAAAGTCTTATAAGCGATAATGCAACGGAAAAGCACTTTCTTCTCTCGATGCCGACTAAGTCAAGCTCAAATTCTACAGTTCTATCTTTTTCTAACTATCTACGACTAGCATACCTATCTTTAGGCTCCATTGATACGATGAGGGTTTTCTTAGCTGTACTTTTCTCTCTCTTCTCGAGAAACGCTTTCGTCTCGACTTTGACTTCTTCGCCACCGGCACCCATATCGAAAAGAAATTTCCAGCAGATCTGCTATAAAGCTGCTAAATATTCTAACAGTGTATCCACAGTAACTAATATAAGACAAATCGATGCGTAGGAATTGGGCGAAGATTTCTGAGGGTTTGCGATGCTCTGAGAGCAAAAAAAAATCTGCAATCCCAATCTGAACGAAATCTGAACGCGTTATGTGTGTTGCCAAATTTGGCGCAGGGCTTTTGATAACCTGAGGGCGGTTCAAAAGCACTTGGCAGGGTGGGGAGGGACGCTTCCAAACTTTCACAGTTTATTGATCTACACTGCCTTTGTGAGTCCAATATCCTCTAGTTTGAACGTAGTCTAACTCTAAATCCAGGAAATCAATTTTTACTCATATTTTAACTCAAATTGTGCATTGCTATCTCTAACTTTGCCTTAAAAAAAGTGCTAATCTATCCTCCCATGCAAGAGTGAACATTCCGTCCCCGCTATCACGTGCAGGTCACACATCTTGCATGTAGCTCTGCTGATGTGAGATAGATTTTCGTCATTTTCATTTTTTGCTGATGTAAATCTTTTCATTTTCTTTAAGTAAACTAGTGTTACATTAAGAGTATCACTAGGATTTTGACCCAATTTTATCGTGTGCGGTAAATTGCAGAGAAACTCGATATGCATCTTTGCTTTGACTATTTGCGACCGGAAGTGGCGGCAAGAGCAAAAAAAAAAGAAAAACACTCTGCAGGAATAACGTTCGTCCATTGCAAAACATGCCTTTATTGATCTCATTTCACGTATCTTCAAACTAAAAGAAAACAACGAAAAAGAGAGGTGCATATTGAAAAGAACAGCTACAAAAGGAACAGCTTAAGAACGATTTGAGTGAAGAGAAGATGCGTGTGTGATCATTTCCGGTCAAATGAACCGAGATATGTTATGCGACCTTTCGTGATTCAGTCTCATAAAAAAATGCGTTTGCTCACGTCCTACGATGTCTCTCTTTTTATTTATTTTTTTTTTAATGGAAGACAACACTTCAATCCATCAAACAAAAACCATAACAAACGTGAGGAAGAACAAGTAGGAAAGTCTTCCGATTTATCTGGGGAACCCCTGGTAAGTACCTCCTGAACGCCCTGTCCCATAGGGAGCTTTGAGAGGTGAGGTAGGGTTAAGACCAAAGCTAAAATTAGAAAGGCATGTTCAAGCTTGAAAATTCCTGTGCAATTGATATCCAACCATCTCAGACATTCAATTTTTCCGTTCAGTATCACCCTTGAATCAAATGTAAAGGTCATGACAATACAGGAAATGATCACCAATTTAAGAAGCTCCAGATTGTTAAACAAATTCTCCTTCTCAACATCAGAAGAAATATATAGAGAAAAGTATGGAGAATATGCATACTGATGTTAGGGTGTAAAGAGTTGAAAGATTATTCCTGTTGTGAGGTAGCATTCATTGCTATTACACCTGGCTTACCGGCCCTTACAGAACAAATATTAGACACTTTGCTTGCATCATGTTTCCAAGGGCCTAAATTTTTTAATTAACTGAAAATATAAATCCAAAATGTTGGCACTCTTTTCCTATTTCAGTCTAAATTACGAACATTTCTCCTAAATTGACTCCCTTTGTGCTTTTT